TTCTCAATATACATTGTAGTTGATTTTTGTGACCCTTTACCTGTTCCACTTCACAAAAGTGCTGTTTACTATGACACTTCTGTAATATCATAAATCCACACATTTAGCCACTTTTCCATTTTTCCCATAGCTTCATCACACACTATAGATGTTACTTTGGTCCTTTTAAGACTAGCCTTATGTGCAGATTTGTAGATTTATTCTTTCTTTTAATGGATGTACCACATCGTTGATTCGTTAAATTGAACTCACCACCAAGAGCACTGTGACTCATGCTGAAGGTGGCTTATCTAAGACATGTACATTCTCTGTAAAGTACATCACAGCCTTATTTTTCAGAATACTAGATGGCACATTAGTACTATGCTTGGGGGCCATTTAAACAGTGAATTCACCAACAAAAAGAACAAAAGTGGGAAAAACATGGCACTAGATTGACCACAAAAGGACACACGTTTATAGTAGAAGAGCTGAAACAAGAAGTAGGAGTATCTCCTTGTTGGCCTCAGCTTGGAGTGTGCACTTTAGCAACTCAGAAGTTTCACTTCTCTATGCATGTCTAATAATAGTTGTGAAATTAAGGTGAGCATAGAATCTGTGAATAGAGAATTAATTATATATACATATTTGTATATAAATAGAAATATATGTGTGTGTGTATATATATATATAGAGAGAGAGAGAGAGAGATATCTCCTTACATATAACATAATGCATTAATAGCTAATTTCTAATTATACCTGATCAATTGAGTTAAAATTAATTAAAATAACGTATTAGTAGAGAAGTACAAAGTTTTGACTCTGACGTTTCATGAGTAAGTTTTATTCAAACTTTTTTCTGTTTCACAATTACTCACTTGGGCTTGTTTCAGTCTAATGTGACTTCCAGTCTGTTTTTGTAGTAAAGAAATTGAGGGAGTACCTCATGAGACTTTATAGAGGCTTTAATATTGAATAATTCCTCTTTTCTAAGAATTACATTTGAAGAAAAACCTCAACTTGTACAAAATTTAAAGTTTCCAAAACACAGTTGACTGTGTTTTAGAAACTTTAAACATATAAACATCAATGTATATATACAATAGGGTTTTTTTTATCATCGCTATTAATTAATATTATATCTGAATGGGAAGTTTCCTTCCCACTCCTATTTCTCAAATTCTTCTAACTAGGAGAAGCAGCCCATTATGTCCTTATACACCTTTGCTAGAGCAGGTGGATTAGCAATGATTTGCGAGTAGAATCTTTAGGAAATGGTCCACAAAGAGATGGATAGGACTTACGGGGGAGACATGCAATAGAGAATAAAGTACCCTACAGGGAGCTGAAATAAAAGAAATCAACCAGAGGAAAGTAATCAGACAAGGGCAGAGTTTTCTACACTGACTGAACCATGGGGATGTGCCTGGGTGGTCAGCGGTCGCAACTAGAAAAGGAAAGAGTCACAAGCATAAATGTTGAGTCTTTTAATCAAAAGAAAAAAATAATCACGTTTGTGTTCAAGAATATTTTGAGGATCCACTTACTAAAAGACAAACTAAAAGGTAGGTAAAAATCCCAATATTAATTTTCAAATTAAATATTTTTATATTCTTTAGAATATTGTTGATAGAACTTTGTATACTTAGTGAAAAATGTGTGACAGTTTTGCTTTCATGGCGCGGTCCACGCCATGGCAGAGTCCTGAAAGGAATAGCTTGAGCTGCCCTCTCCGAGTTGGCAAGGCCGCCGGAGGGAGAGCTGCTGGCAGGACCACAGCTATGAGCACTTGCTTTTGCTGTAAGGATCTCTGCCTTGGCATCGTAGTACTGCTTTTACTTTCTCTTTTAATATTTTGGTCAGCGTGGCAGTTTCCTGATTTTCCAAAAGACACAGAAAATGACACACAAACAGTTGTTGTCATAAAATTAGATAGTCCCACCAAAGATCGGGAAAGATTGAACAATTCCAAATTGTCCCTTTTGAGTCATTTAATTATGCCAATGGATATTTCAAAAACATCGGTCACGACTAATCATGAGCAATTGCCTTTACCAGAGAAATTAATAAATAAAATAAGTCCCCATCCTCTTCCCACCATCTGGGTATATGGTTACATGGGATATAAAATAAGAAAGGGAAAAATTTGGTACCCTCCCAGGGGATGTCCAAAGTATGATCTAAGTTGGCAAACATCATTTACTGGAGATTGTATTAATGGCAAGAGAATGGTTGGCATTAATGAGAAATTATATGATTGGGATAAATTAAGTATATGGGAATGAAACCATAGAATTCCCTTTACTTGGTGGTGTCCAGTTTTAAATAAATCGTTAAGAATCAGGTATTGGGATAAAAATATATTCTGTAAAATTATTAAACCTGCAAAATTGGATCTTAAAAGAATAAGAGAGTACACCTAGTTTTGTGAGGGATGGTGATGTGCACAAGGACACTTTAACATTTAGATCAAGATTACAGGGCCACAGAAATGTTAACATTTTTCCTTTTAGCAAAGTTGTATATACATTTAAGAACAGATATAGGTTATCTACAAAATAGCTGCCACCCTGTTAATAGGGTGGATATTAACCACAGCTTGCTAACAGAAAAAGGTCACAAGATAACGTCTAGACAATGAAGGGATTGCCGATCTGATAATCTGATTCCAGGAAAAAGAAGCACGAGTTGATCACCCAAGACATGCTGACAAAAGGAAAGGACTGGCTGACCTCTAAAAAAGTTTCCTCCCTGCTTTTTGGACTATTGATTTAATCTTGCTGATACAATAAAAATAGTACCCAACCCCCCCCCTGCAGAGAAAAACCTAAAAAAAGGCAAAGTCTCATGCTCTACTGGGCTCCAGCTGCAACCCGCTGACAGCCCACAGAGAGAGAACGTGCATATTGATGCATTGAGGTCTCCGTCTGTGTTTGTTATTTTTGCCGACCCTCTCCTTCCTTTTTCGGGTACCCACCCCTCGCCGAAGCTGGATTTTGGCACTTTCACCCACCTAAGTAGGTAACTACATTTAACCTCTGCTGATAGCTGGTAACTGTTGCTCCAGTCATGGATAGCTAGTGCATAACCATGGTTTAATGACAATATGCAAAACAAAATCTTGAGGCTGATACATGGGTTCTAATTTTTATTTTTCGGTACAGTGGGTCAATATTTTTATTCAAAGCAAGAACTACATAAATCTAAACTTAGATTTAATGATTAAGTTGAATCCCTTAATTTTACACATAAGCAAGATGAGAATTATAATGAAATATATACTTAAAAGATTCTCAAAACCACAATTCTATCTACAACTGAGCTATTAATGTCTTAGTATCTCTGCGCTTCAGCATCTTCTCCTATAAAACAAAGAGGTTCACCAAGCTGACACCAAGACTAAAAGTTAATCAGCACGTCTTACGAGCATTTTAAACTATTCTGTATTCACTACAATGTGCAGACGTATATACTTGGGCGTAAAGGGTAGGATATGTAGAGGTGTAACCTGATTCAATGTTATTATTCACCAAATCTTTTGCATTAAACAATTAATACAATCTACAAACATCATGTATTCTATTATGAGACAGAATAGGTTTCGGGTGCAGTCATGCTAAATTATTATTTGTAGGTAGAAAAGATATGAATGATCTTAAGAGATTTGATTTGTGACAGATGGAAAGAATATGTGCAAACTGCTTGTCTCTTGCATTGCAAGTGTACATATACAACACTTACATGCAAAAATAAAATCATACTCTGAATTAAAGTTCAGAAAACAGAAATTATACTACGGATTCAATCATTTCCTAGGCAAGTGCTCATTAGCACTCTACTGAACATAATTCACCTTAGTTAACATTACACTTAATTTTAAAGTAAGGGTCAGTAAAACTTTCTCTGCCTATTTATCTGGCTTTAGAGAAGTAAATTACAAATGAGGCAAATATCACTTTAACCTGTAAAGTATTACTTAAGAATTAATTATTGAGACTACAAATCATTTATGAATTAGGCATTCCTCTTTCAACTATTACCTTCCCTTCCCTAAAACATATTAACCTCTGGTCCTCAGGTTTTTCTGGTGAACCATTTCTTGATCCTGCTACGGATTTGTTGGGTCTTAACACTGTAGATGATGGGGTTCATTAAGGGTGGAAAAAGGATATAGATGTTACCCATGAGGACGTGGACCACAGGGGAGAGGTGCTTCCCAAAGCGGTGTACCATGGTCAGACCAATGATTGGGATGTAGAAAACCAGGACAGCACAGATATGAGAGACACAGGTCTGCAATGACTTGAGCCGCTCCTCCCGGGATGCAATAGTCAAGACTGAGAAAAGGATTAAGATGTAGGAGATGAGAATAAGCACTGAATCCAAAAAGAGTGTGCAGATACCAGAGCTAAGGCATAGAAGCTGTTGAAGCGGATGTCAGAGCAGGCCAGACGGAGTAGGTCCTGATGTAGACAGAAAGAGTGGGAGAGGATGTGGGGATGGCAGTAAATGAAGAACTTTAGGCAGACAATGGGAGCAATAATGAACAGAAAACTCCGCCCCACGATGGCCACACCAATGTTGATGATTCTGGTATTGGTGAGGATGGATGCATATCTTAGAGGATTACAGATTGCAGTAAAGCGGTCAAAGGCCATGGCGAGAAGGACTCCGGATTCCATGCATGATAGACCATGAATGAAAAAGGTTTGGGTGATGCAGGCATCCAGACTAATCTCCTGCTTGAGCTCCCACAGAATCCCCAGCACTGTGTGTATCGTGGACAGCCCCATGCACAGGTCAGTGAGGGCCAGCATGGCTAGAAAATAGAACATGGGCTCATGCAGGCTTGGCTCTGTACGGATCGCATGCAGCACCAGGCAATTCCCTGAAAGCACCATAGCATAGATACAGGAGAAGGGGATGGAGAGCCAGGGATACTCCTCTTCGAGACCAGGAAAACCCATAAGAAGAAAGGTGGAGTTACTGATTTTGGAGTAAGGTCGGACAGACATTGATCTACAAAGACAGAAACTTTTCAAGAAAAATGTATACAATAGTTGATTAGGGTTCATATGTGAAAAGTCTGAAGTAACAGCTATACTAAGACTGATTAGATTAGCATAATAGCTCATTAGATTTAAAACCGGTGTTTCTATCTTCCCAGAATTTGAGTTTGCTCCAAAACAGAGACTAAATTACTACTTTATGACTACACATAACACCTCTTAGTTATTCGGTCTTTACCCTCAACAGAGAAATCAATGTCTCCATATCCATAATACAACCATCCCTTTCTACCTCAGTGCTTCATTTTACAGACATGAATAGTGAAAAGTGATTTTTTTGCTTGTGACTTTGTAATAAAGTTTAAGCAAACACATTATAAAAGAAAAACATATTTGAACTGTTCACATCAAAAGTCTAATAAAATAAATTGCAAATTACTCCTGTGTGGTGTAACATTAACCTCCGTTTATTACAGAAGACACTAAGTACTATGTAGAAGTAATTTCTCAGTCACTTTGACATCTATGTTTTAGGCAATTAATAAAGAATTGTCACTCACAACAGAGATGTTCTTGCCAATCTTGAAAATGGATTTGCTCTTCTTGGTTGTAGTGCACTGAGATTCAATAAGAAGCAAGATTTATGCAGGTGCAAAAAGTATAGTAGCCACTGGAGTAAATTCTAGATCCTGGGAGATGCTGAGAATGACTGGTGTAACATTTACGGCCACTGCTCCTTGGGGACAAAGAGGAAAAACTCCTGGGAAGGATTTCCATAGCAGACTTTTTCACTTCACCGCATTCTGAATACTCTTACAAGTGCACATTTGTAGAAATAATTTATTCATCCAGGGAGACAGGGAAATGAGCATTGGACAGAGAGATCCACAATCCTCTACTAGTTTGCTTCCTCGCTAAGTTCTTTACATTCTCTTCGAAGGCCAGCATATGCATCCTATGTAAAACAGTTTTTATTTGTTATAAATAAAACTTCATTTCATTTTCCTTCATTTCAGCTACAAAATGTTCCTTCAGTTTTTGAAACCATGGTTCACGTATTCAGAAGAATTCAAGTGCTGGCAAAGATAGCAATTGTTTGCAAGCCCTATAGTTTTGCATGCAGTTTATAATTCTTCTAAAGATCTTAGGTCCTCTATTTTCATAACAATATTATTGAACATCTTTTAACATTTACTCTGTGCTAGAAACCTTAGCATTACTTATCAGAATTAAAGTATTTATATTACATAATTTAATTGCTATTGTATGTGGGGGGGGAATCACACCTGCACTACTGACTTCCACAGTTATGTCAGTCAGCACTTTTCCCTCTACCCTCTTCAGTGAGGTGGTTTCACACATTTGTATTACAGTTAGATTCTTTTTCACAGATTGTGTTCCTTCCTGGGTTCCTTCTACCTTTAAATAAATATTTAAATTTGCATCAGTTAAGGTTCACTTTTTCTATTGAGCCTCCCTAAGTACTAATTCTAAAAAGAATGGTTGTTTCTCAGCTTTTTCAGCAGTAATGCACTGTTATACTGGAACCCTGTTAATGTGGGGTAAGTTGTAGGAAAGCAAGCTCTCTATAAATCTCTTCCACTTAAATCTCAGTCTTCTAGTGGCCTTTTGGCCCAAGGCTTTACCTTCGCAATTGTTTTTTCAGTTGTATAGCTTTTCCCCAGCCATCTCTATTCTTGGCCATGTTCTCATATTTTTTTTTTTTAAGTCCTGACACCAGTTGATCAGGTATTTCTCCTGCCTAGGAGAGATAGAAAGGCTGGAGATGGCTGGAGTTGGAGGAATTTCCTTCTCCCATGTGGGATAAACCTGTGGCAAAGTCTTTTACCGGAAAGAATAGGACTTAGTTATAGAGAAGTCTCCAAAAAATATTCTTCCACTTCACTTTCCAAAGCCATGAGTGGATCTTCTCAGATATTTCCTATGAGAATCTGCTTGGTTTTGTGAAAACATTTTACATAAAAAAGTGTAACACCATCCAAAGATTCTCCAGAAGAATCTTTATCTCTGAGATTCCAGAAATTCCTCAAATTCACCATATTTGTGTTCCTACGTATTTATTCTTCAGAAGCTTGTGTTCCCGACAAGCAGATATCAACTATGTCTCTCTGGATGTGCCTGTCTCTTCAGATTTGAGGTTGTGGTTTTCCCTGTGGACTCTGTTTTCTGTTGGGTCCAAAAAATATTGTTTATTTTCAGTTCATCCATTTTTTTTTTTCTCTCATAAGTACGAACAAGTACCTGCAGGCTGGAAGTAAACCTGGAATTTGGTAATAGTTGTTGATACATACATGTTTATGTACGTAAACCAAATATCTCTGTTGTCTCATCTTCCATCTACTACAGTATGAGGCAAAATGTGATAATAGTGTTAGTCCAATATCACAGTTCTTAATTTAATGACTATCAAGAAGGAGGTGCACTAAGCTGAAAGTAACACAAAAAGACACGTAGCCTTTGTGTTCTCATTTTGTTGAGAGGATGAGTGTTTTTAAGTTGTAACATGGACATTTCCATTACATATGCATAATGTATAATTATTTTTTTCAGAAATTAATATAGCTAAATGTGTGGGTGACAACTGAACTGTTATTTTTTTCTTACAATTTAGGTATGTATTAAAAAATATTTTGTCTAAAAACAACTCGAATTTTCAAGAAAAGCTTCAAAGATAGTACAAAGTGTCCCTAATACCTTCCACACAGCCGCTTCTGTATAAAATGTTACGTAAGTGTGGTACAGTTATAAAAATTTAGGTTGGTACACATTATTGACNTTGTTTTTTCAGTTGTATAGCTTTTCCCCAGCCATCTCTATTCTTGGCCATGTTCTCATATTTTTTTTTTTTAAGTCCTGACACCAGTTGATCAGGTATTTCTCCTGCCTAGGAGAGATAGAAAGGCTGGAGATGGTTGGAGTTGGAGGAATTTCCTTCTCCCATGTGGGATAAACCTGTGGCAAAGTCTTTTACCGGAAGGAACAGGACTTAGTTATAGAGAAGTCTCCAAAAAATATTCTTCCACTTCACTTTCCAAAGCCATGAGTGGATCTTCTCAGATATTTCCTATGAGAATCTGCTTGGTTTTGTGAAAACATTTTTACAGAAAAAAGTGTAACGCCATCCAAAGATTCTCCAGAAGAATCTTTATCTCTGAGATTCCAGAAATTCCTTAAATTCACCATATTTGTGTTCCTACATATTTATTCTTCAGAAGCTTGTGTTCCCGACAAGCAGATATCAACTATGTCTCTCTGGATGTGCCTGTCTCTCCAGATTTGAGGTTGTGGTTTTCCCTGTGGACTCTGTTTTCTGTTGGGTCCAAAAAATGTTGTTTATTTTCAGTTCATCCAATTTTTTTTTTTCTCTCATAAGTACAGGGATGATGACTTGCATGTACGAACAAGTACCTGCACGCTGGAAGTAAACCTGGAATTTGGTAATAGTTGTTGATACATACATGTTTATGTACGTAAACCAAATATCTCTGTTGTCTCATCTTCCATCTACTACAGTATGAGGCAAAATGTGATAATAGTGTTAGTCCAATATCACAGTTCTTAATTTAATGACTATCAAGAAGGAGGTGCACTAAGCTGAAAGTAACACATAAAGACACGTAGCCTTTGTGTTCTCATTTTGTTGAGAGGATGAGTGTTTTTAAGTTGTAACATGGACATTTCCATTACATATGCATAATGTATAATTATTTTTTTCAGAAATTAATATAGCTAAATGTGTGGGTGACAACTGAACTGTTATTTTTTTCTTAAAATTTAGGTATGTATTAAAAAATATTTTGTCTAAAAACAACTCGAATTTTCAAGAAAAGCTTCAAAGATAGTACAAAGTGTCCCTAATACCTTCCATACAGCCGCTTCTATATAAAATGTTACGTAAGTGTGGTACAGTTATAAAAATTTAGGTTGGTACACATTATTGACAGGACTACAGACTTTATGTGAATTTCTCTAGTTTCTTCACTAATATATTTTTTGTTATCCAAGATTCATACAGAATACAACTTTGCAATTAGTTGTAATGTCCCTTTCATCTTCTTCAGTCTCCTCCAATTCTTTTTTGTTCATTTTGTTTATATTTATTTTTGTGGGGTACAGTGTGTTGTTTCAGTACATGCATACACTGCACAGCAACTCATCCAGGGCAGATAGCACAGTCTTGTACCCTTCAGTCCACTCCTTTTCCTCCCCATCCATCCCCCGCCCCAGCCTCTGGTAACCATTGCTCTACTCTCTACTGCTTCTTCCTCTCCTTTGTCTTTACACTTTTGAACTTTACTGGTAAGCTCTTTTTTACAATATCTTTCAATTTCTTTTTTTCTCATGTCTTTTCATAATTAGGAAAAATCATGATCACACAGAGATTACATATTGAAGAAAAAAACAGGATAGGTCACTTGATATGTTGATATCAATGTGACTAATTCATGGTGAAGTTAAACTTAATCACTTTCTTAAGTCAATGTTTGTCAGGTTTCACCACTGTAAAGTTCCTATTTTTCTATTTCCACACTATTTTGAATTCTTAATTTTTAACTCTGCATTACTACTGTTTGATTCTAAGGACTCCTCTGTATTGCAGAGGAGAATAAGCAAAAACAACAACCAGAAACTAAATTTTTCAGATCCCCCTGACATGAATGTTTCTTTATTAAAGTCTTCCAATGAGAAAAATTTGTACAAGATTTGCACAGGAGGTCATAGAGGCCAGATGTGGCAAATTCATGGATTTCTTCATGAGCTGCATCCATATTCTCAGATTTCTTCACGAATTCAAACTTTGTAGTAGAGAGGATGGATATGGTATTAAAGAAAAACAAAAAAAACAAAAAAACAATGTCCCTTCTTATTTTGTGGTCATGGTGGCCAGACACATTGGCATCTCAGAATTTTCTCTGAATTGTGACTTATTCATACATTCCAGAGCTTGAGTCTGCTTTTCTGATTATCTATGTGTAACGTGTTAT